CTTACCCAATCGCCGCTGTTCCCCCTCCGGTCTGGGGGGACTTTTTTAGTAGCCACTTAGTCACAAACACTGGCCAAAGTTAGCGTTCATATTTGTTTTTTGTGTGAAAAAAGCAAAAAACAAACATTTGGCCAGTGTTTGTGACTACGTGGCTACTAAAAATGACTGGACATACCCCATTTGCAATACCATAGGTTGTCTACTTTTGCAAATGATATGCCATCATGGGGGTAATTCTCATTCCAGGCTACCATACGATCCCAAAGGCAACATTACCAAACTAGCAAATTTCAATGTGGAAAATATGAAATGCAAGCCTTATATATGACTCTCTAACTTTCCAAAACACCATAAAACCTGTACATGGGGGTACTGTTATACTTGGGAGACTTCATTGAACACAAACATAAGTGTTTAAAAACTGTAAAACATATTACAACAATAATATCGTCAGTTAAAGTCTTGTTTGTGTGTGAAAAATGCAAAAAACTTCACTTTTACTGAAAATATCATCATTGTAATACAATTTATCATTTTGAAACACTAATATTTGTGTTCAGCGAAGTCTCCCAAGTAAAACAGTACCCCCCCATGTGCAGGTTTTATAGTGTCTTGGAAAGTTACAGGGTTAAATATAGTGCCGGCGAAATACATTCGCTGCACTTTCTGCCTGGCTTGTCAGGCATGTCAATTTTAAAATTTTAATTAATTAAATCACATAATTATGTTAAAAGATTACTTAAATATACATGTAGAATTTAAATATATGTACATATATATGTATTTAAATTCTATGTGTATACTTATGTAATAATTGATGTAATTATATTATCTATATATATATATATATTTTTGCAGTTATTTGTATTTTACATATAGATAGCTATATATAGAATGTCATTCTAAGTGTATTTTGTTATCAAAATATATATATTAATAACAAAATACAGTTAGAATGAAATAACATATGTATATATAATTTATTAAATTTAAAACATTTTATTTATTTATTTATTGTATTATTTTATTTATTTATTATTGTAATTATACGTATATATATATATATATATATATATATAAACATAAAATATATATATATTGACGATATGAGCCACAAACACACGAAAACAGCACAAATCCTGCAAAAACAAAAAGCAAAACAAGTTTTCAACTCTAAAGCTAACATCCCACAGGCAAGCAAGCCGTGGGGAGCCCGGGTCGGACGGACCGCGGGACAGCACGTCTGAGGCCTACTGCAGCTGGCGGACCACCGGTGGTGAGATGCGGCCGATCTCCTACCGGGAGGCGCACAACACACCGCTCACAGCTCCGTTATCCCCCCCCTTTGGACTGGTGGGGGTTATCCCAGTCCCCACAGGGCCAGCTAAGCCTGCTCCGTAAAGCCTCAAAGAAAGAATCCCGCGAGCCACGCGGCTCAACTAAGATGGCCGCCACTTTGAAATCCCAATGCCACCAAACAAGTCTGATGGGACAGAGCTGGAGAGAGGCCTTCGATGCAAGGTTCGAGGCGATCTGCCAGGCCTTCTGGGACCGCCTCGCCAAGCGGAGACCCACTCACACCCCTCCCGAAATGGCAACTGTAAGTAAAGCAGCCACCGCTACCTGTCTCTCTTCCGGGCCGGGGGCCCAACCGGAGACTCCTCCATGCCACAGTCCACTGACCCAAGGGGTAAACCGTTACCCAGAAGCCCCGGGGGTTCACGATCCCGCCACTGGGAGAAGGGGGACCCACGGACTAAGGGCACTGGCTCCCCTTACAGCCCGGAGCCGTAGAGACAGGGACCAGCCAACCACATGCTTACTACACACGCAGCATTGCCCAACCTACCTAAAGCTGGAGAGCGGGACTGAAGAGAGCATACAGCACTCACCTGGACATCGTCCCACAAGGGAGCTGTATCCCAGACAAGATCATCACAAGTGGCAGCCACGCACCCAGTGTGGGAATCTGCAGCCTCATGATGGCTACCGCGATCACAAGTGGGTCAGTACCTGTTACCAGAACGAACTCATACCACCCAAGGACAATAACCTGCCGCAGATAGGCATCGGCTAAACTGCCTCTCACAGGTCCCATGGGGTCAAGCTTCCGCTCAGGGCTTGGGGATTACAGACTATTGCTCCACTATAAGCAATAATTTTACCAGCCTAGTTCACCAGTGGCTATATTATATTATTTTGTTTTATTCCTTCTTGCATTCTGTCTAGCAGTATAACACATTAATGTCTTGCATATTATTTTACTCAGCATCCTGGGGAATAACACCCATGGCATACAAAGTTAATGTTTTCGTGTTATATGTTCCATATTTACCGGGCCTGATAACTTGCAGGACCTTACACTGATAATCTCATTTAAGCATCCACAGGCAGTGATAGCATCACCCTGTTTCTACCTACAAAAAGTTACGCCTGTTACTCTTGTAATATCTTTTTATTTCATAAAAATGTGCAGAATTATCAAATGCCATACGAATGTCTATGTTTTGAAAAGCTTGCACTAGCTGTTGTGGCATGGCAAGACTGTTTGTAAAATCTATGCACACCCAAAATAAAGAATTGAAAAAAAAAAAAAAATATATATATATATTATTATATAATATATATATCTTATATATATGTAACTTCATTCTAAGTGTATTTTAATACTAATATATGCACTTATATTAACATTAAAATACACTACATATGACGTTACATATATATAAGATACAATATACACATTTATTTTATTTTAAACATGGTTAATAATTATTTTTTTTATACCTCCCACCAGCAGGGGGACTGTCTGAAAGCCCAGGCAGATCCACAGCCAGCTATAGGGGGCCAGATTTGTCGTATTCGGACTGCCAGGCAGTCCTCCCGAAGAGTATTGCAGCGGACCTCCATGGGTAGAGAGCCGTTACGGCGTTCTATGCTGCCGCAACGGCTTTAAAGCCCATTATAATTGGGACGGCATAGAACGCTAAGGGGTTAATTGAAAATTGTTTAGAGAATGAGAGATTGACTTGTGCATCAACAAGTGTCTGTGCTGGAATCCTAGATCGAGAAAAAGGAAAGCAAGGAGCCAGCACTACCATTATGCACCAACTAGGAGGAAGAAGAGAAGGAGGTAAAACCAGAGGGGAAGAATGGAAAATAGGTTAAGAGATTTAGCTAAATTGAGGGACTGGGCACTCAAGTGGCAGATGCGATTTAAATTTAATGTAGAAAAATACAAAGTTATGCACTTCGGGGTAAAGAATGCACAAGCATCTTACACCCTACATGGTAGTGAATTAGGGATAACAATACACAAGAAGAATTTGAAAATTATTGTACATAACAAAATAGATAATGTGCAATGTCAATCGGCAGTTGCTAAGGCCAGTAAGGTATTGTCATGTATAAATAGGGGCATTAATTCTCGTGATGGAAATATAATTTTTTCTCTTTATAAATCACTGGTAAGACCACACCTAGAATATGCTGTGCAATTTTGTGAACCTGTTCTAAAGAAGGATATCATGGCATTAGAAAAGCTCACAGGGGCGGGGGCGGGCCGCCGAGCTGAACAGCAGTCTTCCTCAGTTCCAGGCCCCGCTCTGTAAAAACGAAGATTTAGGGCCAAAATAGCCCAGCTAAAAACTAGCTACCACTACACTCACCTGTGGGAACCTATCAGCGTCCAGGAAATCCTGGCTCGGGAACTGTAATACCGAAAGATCGAGCCAGCCAGCACCTCAGGCCTACCTACACGCTTCACTGCGATGCCAAGCCACACGTCAACGGAGGAGGATGCCGGCCCGCTTCCAAGCATACCCACGGCCCTGCACGGCATACAACTGATGGCGGACGGGGGGCCCGCCCCCCCTCCCCAGACGGTGGGGGTTATAACAGCCAGACGGCTGGAGCCGGCCAAGGCCTTAACCGCAACTTGACTCATAGCCAAAGATGGCGCTGCCCCGTCTCCCGGTCACATCTACAACATGCAAACACCTATCGCACTAAGCATGGAGGTGGCAGTATACGGAAACGCACTCACATGAAGGGTTGCATCGTGTGGACCTCGGGCCCTGGGGCATTAATGACCTGGGAAGTAGCCTGGAGGGGGGCCTGGAGGGACTTGTCCCCAAAGCTGAGAGTCCTGTGAAGCCAGTCTGTGTGGAGCAACGGTGTACCGGTGACTGTGAGTGACACACGGCTGAACCAAGAGGGTGGCCGACGCTGGGAGAGACATTGGAGGGGGTGATGCCTCACTGAGTCCCTGAAGGTGCAGGGGAGGTGCAGGAGATGGATGGGCCGTGGACCCTAGGTGGGGGGACAAGCGGACTGTCTCACTATCCGAGTGCCCACTTCGCCACAGGATATTCTGCTGGAGGGTTAGGACTGAAGGGGGATCTGGAGGGGGGTCCTGGAACCTCTGGGGGCAGAGGCTGCCATGCTGCTCACGACTTACCATTGCCTGCCAACATCGGTATACCAGAGACTGCCATATCTGAATGTGATGAACGGAGGGGAGGACTTTGTGATTTTCTTATTTTGTTTCAACTGTTTTTACTTTCTCCTATTATTTTAGTTTAGGGTGTGTAGTTATGCCCGGCTGCGCGTGCATGGCACAAGGCCCTCTGGAGCGCTGAGACACTCTCCCACTGGCGCTTAACGGGAGACTTCATGTAGGACCTTTCTCCTTTTTCACGTTTCCTCTTCTTAGAAGGAGGGAAAAACGTTTGGTTCTTATACAGCAACAGAAGTTCAGTCACTACGCATAACCATGAAGTGGCACTAACCTATGCTCCCATTTAACTATTAAATCAGCATACCAATACGTTAACTTGCAACAACTGATTGTGAAGGAACACATAGCCCCAACATCACATCAATACTCCGTACATACATGGCTATCACAACTCATATCAAGCCTTACGACCTGATGCTCGGCCATACTTACGCTAGGTCCAAGGCAGAAGGCCTATACTACCTTGCCTTTGCACCACAGGCAGAAACTGGAGAAATATTATTGAGCCTATATAAGTCGTGTCATCCTTGCACTAATCATTACAGATGCATGAAATTAGTTATTAGTTAACCTGTTGTGAAGTTCCCAACTTTGCTGTCTTATTATATTATGCTACCATTGTCTAGCAAATAAATCTGGACCACACTTTAATTTGCTGTTCCAGATTGCGACCACAACTATATGAACGCCTGACATGCTTGATACAAGTAGACACCAATATTAATACCTTGATACATTGGTCAACTACGGCTACCATAACCTATATAATACCTTATTGCCATCCTAACATAGCTATGCACCTAGGCTGGGTCCAGAGAGAATGGCCTGTGCTACCTTTCCTCGGTATCATATACAGAAATGGAAGAACTGTAGTTGCGCTCACTTATGCCATTTATCATTTTAGCCGTTACTTTTAACTTCTATACCTGCCTCTCCACCGTGGCCACGTTTTAGAATGTTATCTATGTCTTCTGACTAGTCTGTCTTAACATAACCTATTGTAAGAGACTATAAATTTAAAATTGTGCATGCATACTGGTCTACCCTATTGTTCTATGTGTTGCAAAGTTGCTTGAGGATTGCCGTCGGGGTACCTCACGCTTGTATGTTATTCTCGATATGCACTGCAAAAATAAAGAATTCGGGGCCGGGCCTGACAGCCGAGCTAGCCGAATGCACATGCTGAGAGCTCTGGCCCAAACTAGCCTAAAAGCGACCAATACAAACCATAACTGGGGTTCCAGCAGCCTAACTCAAGGATGGCTCACGGCACAAGCATGTGGGAACCCGAGGAGACCAGCTCCAAGTTTTTCCACCGAGCCATAAAGCATCCCACACTGAGGCCTAGCGTGGGGACCGCACAAAGCGGCAACCATCCCGATGCCGCATCCCCCCCCCATGGACCGGTGGGGGTCATCCCGGTCCCCGCTGGAGAAACTCTCACACCAGCAACGGGAGAGTGCCCAGCCTGAATGTAGACCGCAAGCTGAATCCAAGATGGTCACCGAGCCACTACCACTGAAGCCCCAGAAGAGCCCGGAGGCCTGGAGGGAGCGCTTCAACACTAACTTTGACCGCATATGCCAGGAATTTTGGAGGTGCCTGGAGTGCAGGCCTCCCCACAGCAACTTATCTACAGGAAAAGAGAAGTCGGTTGCTACAGTAGCTCACCGACCTGACGTGAGGCTGGAGCCCGACAAGTTGGCGCGCCCACCCCGCCGTCCGACATACCAGGGGACACTGTGGGCAATAAAAAGCAAGGTACCACTGCACTACCATAACTCAACCTCCCACCTCCGAAACACCAAACGACCAAGACGACCCCTTGCCCCGCTGGCAAACACCCAGAGGCCTTGTAGCCAGCCACTGCGTAGCCAGAGAAAGGGGCCAAATCCTGGGCGGATGACTGGAAACTTCGGATTGCAGCAGCAACAGCAGCACTCGGCATTACCACCCAACGAGCAACCTGAGCACCTTCCTCACCTCTCCATACTGGAACTGCGAGCTCCTTGGACACCAGCTACACCTCAAGGCTTCTTCACACCGATGATCAATGCTACTCCCCAAGCCTGTACTTACCTGAGTTCACCAGGGACAAACAAAGCCATGCACTTCCCTTGCCTGACTGAACACTCCACTGACCGGGACTGTAGATACCCACTGAGGGGCATTGGGTAGCTGCAAACACAGGGCCATACCCTGCCACACACAGCAGTACTTAGCTTGCAGAGCAGGCACCTAGTACCGTTATTATGCTCCATTGTTTTATATTGCTTTCTTTGCTTATTCTGTTAATTATCACAGTTAGTTAAGGCTGTATAATTGGTGTCAGGGGCCAGTGGCATAATATATCTGGTGTGTAACCCCAACATGATGAAACATGAATCTCAGTCAGATCTTCTGTTTAGATTAGCAGTTTAGCTTGTTTATTAAACTTATAAAAATGTGCACAACCCTCAAATGCTATGACACAACATTTTGATGTATGTTCCTAGAATTATTACTGCCGTCATGGCATTGCAAATCTGTATGCACAATAAAAATAAAGAATTTAAAAAAAATAATAAAAAGTAAAGAATTCGGCATTTGCTGCCTGTTAGAGTGTAAAAAGAGATTTGTGGTCAGGAGACAATACTTAATCTGTCATGACGGGGGAGATGGGCGGGCAGTGCGCGACGTAAGCATGCATGTAACAAGTCCGCGCGCTTCCGGGACCAGGAAATGAGGAGCTGAGGCAGCATGGACGCTGAGCCCTGATAATGCAGAGACAGCAAAACAGCGAAGCAGATAAAGTTTACCAGCTACACAGGGACTGACAGCCAACTCTGGCTCCACAACACTGCAGGTTTCTTGTGCTAAACTCTTTCGGTATAAAGATTGGGCTTGTATGTTGATATGAAGGACAGAATGTGAGATATCTCGGATGAAAGGAAAAAAGCAAGAGAAGATTTAAGGAGGAGATAGAGGAACTCAGTGAATATAAAGTAAGTAAAATCTAGCTACTTGCTGAGATATACAAATCAGATTAAAGGGACTGTTTAATGACATTATTACAACTTTAAACATACTTAGAGATATGTAAGCACATACTTAGAGATATGTAAGCACATTTTAGCCCTTCTAACCGAAATATGACTTATTTGCATATTTAAAATGGACTTAAATTTTCCTAGCAACAAAAGCTGGAGGAATTAAAATCATATGCCAATTATTATAACCCTTAAGAGGTTAAATTCGTATCATCCAGATTAAAGATATGTTTTAAGGGGCCATTTTTTTCCCATGTGAAGGGAAATAAGAAGTAAGAGAATAATACTTAAGCATAACAAATGGAATATTTATGTTCAATAATAAAGGTAAAGGCAACTTGACAACTGCAGTAATACAGATTTTATCAAATTGAAGCAGGATACCTTCCGTACATATGGCTCCTAAGAAAGAGAAAGCCCTAAATACTGAAAAAATAAATCATCAATTAGTACATACTATTCACCTAAAATGGCGTCTATAGAATCAGAAAAGCAGCGAAAATCTCTGCCTCTAGATAACGCTGAGCTTTCCACTCACCAATTTATCAGAAGATGATTTTCCACATTTGCCGAAACCAGTACAGGGAATTTCGCAACAAGTACTAACTCAAATGCTGGACAACTTACATATAAAAATTAAAAAAGACATTGAACACAATACAAAATATAAATTAAATTTGCCAAAAATACCCATTGAAAAATCAATTCAGCTAAATAGTCCCTTTTCTATACAGGAGATTAGTAATACCATTATAGCACTAAAAGTGGGCAAAGCCCCAGGTCCAGATGGTTTTTCATCGATTTTTTTATAAGAAATTAAATGGTATAATTTCTCCATATATGTTGAGGACATTTAATAAATTTGCTACTCATAAAGAAATCCCATCAGAAATGCTTCAGGCCTCCATAATGCCAATCCCAAAAACAGATAAAGACCCAGCATATACTTTAAATTATAGGCCAATTTCTCTCATTAACTTAGACATTAAATTGTATTCTAGAATTTTGGCTGATAGACGTAAAGGAATTATACCAGATATCGTGCATTTAGATCAGAGCGGGTTTGTGGAGGGCAGGGGTACGACCGACAATATTAGGAAATTAATGAATGTCTTATATCACGCAAGTCAAAGTCCGTCCCCTTTTGCCTTGGTCATCCTCGATGCCGAGAAGCTGGAAATATCTGGAAGAGTTTCTGAGGGCCTTTGGCATAGGTGGTGTTTTTAAGGAATGTACAATGGCATTATATAAGGATCCCCAAGCTAGGGTCTCTGGATTTATGTTTCAATCAGAATGGTTTCCAATTAGAAATGGGACGCGACAAGGTTGCCCCTTGGCACCTCTGCTATATATGCTTTCTATAGAGCCTTTGGCAGCAGCCATTAGACAGAGTGAGGATATTAGTGGGTTAAAGGTGAACACTTTGGAGAATAAAATAACACTCTACGCAGATGATGTCCTCCTGTCTCTCACGGACCCTATTAGATCTATTCCTGCAGTATTCTGTCTGATTAAGGAATACGGTAAATTTTCTGGCTATAAAGTAACTATAAATAAAACACAAATTTTGATAAAGGGACTAACTGGGCCTAGGGAAAAATGCTTAAGGAGGAATTTAAGTGTGACTGGAAGGCTAGGAGTATAAAATACCTAGGGGTGAGTCTTTCTTTGGACTATAGTGAAATCGGTAAACTTAACTATTTAGAAATAGCTACTCAATTTAGGAGAATTCTTAAAACATGGAGGGGTGTAGAATTGTCATGGATGGGAAGAATTGAGGCAGTTAACTCCTATTTACTTCCCAAATTTACATTTTTATTTAGGAATCTCCCGTTGATGGTGGATTCCCAGACGATACGCGGTCTTCAAAAACAGATTTCAGATTATATCTGGCAGGATAGGCGACCCAGAGTGTCACTGGAAATCCTACAGAGAGATTGGAGGGAGGGGGGAGTTTCCTTTCCAGATGTTCAAAAATTATATATGATTAAAATGACAGTACATCTAGTTATGTGTGATAATTTTACAACCTCAAGACCAACTTGGCTAGATATTGAAAAAGCTGATCTTAGTAATATCGAACCTTTATTTTTTATATGGTGCGATAGTGAGTTTGTAAAAAGCATAAAATCTAGCAATCCGATGAATAATACAATGATTTATGTAGCAAAATATCTAAAGAAAAAATATGGTACTAAATACATATCAAGAAGTGCCCCACTACTATGTTTAAAATTTTATATAAAAGACATAAATATTCAAGAATGGGAAAAGTGCGGAATTGTAAATTTTGCGGAGTTATTAGAGGGAAATCAAATCTTACCATTTCCAATGTTACAGCTTAAATTCAATCTCCCTTCTAAAGAACTATTTAACAATCTAAGAAGAAAATCATTTATTTTAAATAAAGAATTTTCGGAAAATACCCCAATTGATTAATTTATAGCATTTCACTATAGGAAAAAAAATTGCTTCCAGATTTAATCGTTTTATGAGAAATCAAAGGATAATAGTTAAAGCGTCAGCACTGATTAAATGGGAGCAAGAATTTCAAATCTCTTTTTCGCTCGAAGAGTGGTTATCGGGCCTACACTTAGTGAAAAGGCATATACATGGGGTAAATGTACGGGAAGTGTACTTTAAACGTGTTTACCGATGGTACTTAGTGCCCACTCGTCTTCACAAATTTTAACTTACACTCCTTCCAGATTGTTGGAGATGTGGCAGGACATTAGGCTCATTCCCCCACATATGGTGGGATTGTGATGAGCTGAATCCTATGAAATTAATTCTATTTGAGCTAGTAAATTTTATTCTTAAGGCACAAACTGATATAACTGCCCAAATGTTTTTGTTTCATTTACACATGCCAAGGGTTAATACAAAATGTAAAATTCTTATGATTCACATTTTTATGGCAAGTAAAATAGTTATGGCCAGGAACTGGAGAAACATAGGTCCCTTAACCCCTTAAGGACACATGACATGTGTGACATGTCATGATTCCCTTTTTTTCCAGAAGTTTGGTCCTTAAGGGGTTAAATTGGTACGACATTCGCACACAAGTGGATTTCCAATATAGGATGGAAGCAGGCATAGCTTTAGATAGAGTATCCAAAGAGAAATATGATGAAATTTGAGCCCCTTGGGTTACTTTTTTAAGGTTAAAAGATTAAATCCCATACCCCCACTAAATCCCCAATACCACCCTCTTTCTGTTAGGTAAGTTAGTGTTTTTTGTATGAGTATGAAAGAGGTCAACTTGTCTATCTTTTTGACCTGAACACATTTATTGAATAAAATGAAAAAAAAAAAACTTGGTTTTAGATATATGTATAAACAGTAGATATAGCAATATAGTAATCTATTCTGAAAGTATGTTATTTGGATGTAATTTAAGTGAAAAATAAAGATATACTTTTTTTTAAAATAAAGAATTAAAGAAAAAAAGAAAAAGAAAAAACTCAGAGGTGGGCTACAAAACTAATAAAAGGAATGGAGCATTTTACTTATGAAGAAAATTTAAGTTTGAATCTCTTAATTCTGGAAAAACTACGCCTCAGAGGGGATGTGATAGCATTATACAAATATGTTCGAGGCCAATACAATTGTCTGGAAATCTATTAATAAGTAGGGCTTTACATGGGACACGAGGTAGTTCACGCATTTAGACTGAAAGAAAGA